CGCCGGCCGCCCCGGGAGGGGAAGGGGGAGGTCGGGTCGGGCTCTGGTGCTGCTTTTTGGGGCTTGCGGCGACAGGCGAAAACACTCTTTTTGAGAAAAACACTTCTTTTCTGACTCTTTTAGGTCTCCTTTAGGTGTATTTCTCTGATGCGCTGGCAGTTTTACAGTCTCGCAGCGCTTCCCTGCCCACTTCACCGCGAAGTGCTCGCTCTTTTTTATGCAAATACCCAATAGGTTTGGCGGATCTTGGCACTAAACCGAAAACTATTCCTCCTTGAGGTGGCAGCTGTGATTTTTGCACCATCTTTCCCGCTATTCCCGTAGTCACCGGAGAGTATCGTGAGGTGTCACTTGTTTGCTTGGCTTTAAATAACAAAAATTGCGTGCGTACGTTCCGCACCTGCACCTCTCGGCCTTGTGCTGCACTGCTGTTCGGGCATTTGACGTGTTCGTGCCGTGCTCGGAGCTGCTGGAAGAACGAATGGGTTGGTATTTTTTCACTCGGGTATCGTGTCAGGCAGGTGAAGGGGAGGAAGGAGTGTGGGTGTAACTTGATACGAAAAGGAGCAAACTCTCCTGTGTTTACTTGTGAGGCAGGGTTTGGAGACGTTGGTAGGCTGGGTACATTTGCCAATGGAGGCTCCTGGAACTGCAGGGGCCTTTTATGTAGAATCACTACTTTAATCACATGCTTTTTCCTCCCCTTCTTGTCCGTGACCTGCAGCAGTTGGCTTTCTTAGGTGGGAACACCCGAGGTGCCCCTGAGGCTACTGGGTGGTGATATCCTTGACTCACGGAGGCTGGCGGCACGTACAGGATTCTGTCCAACAGCTGTGAATCGATAAGCATGTTTTATAAGCCAGGAAAGCAGCATGGCGTAGGAGTGACACAGAAGTCAATTTAGAAGTAGATTCACATGGAAAAAGCAAAATTGAAACTGACGTCTAGCCATGTCTTTCATCGGCCTATTACGGAGATATTTGTGAAGCTGGGTTTTGCTCCCTTTGGTCGGAAAGAGGAAAACACCGTCCGCCTCGTGGTTTGGGTTTGTTTAGAAAAGGGCTTTGTGATCTTGGATGTTGCGTGATAACATTCCATCGTGCTGAAGGCATCAGCAAAGGGGTATGGTGAGAGCAGCTCACCTGCTGGTCACGTCCTCACCTGACATACACGCCAGAGTGGCGTGTGGTTGACCAGCAAGGTCAGTCTCCATCTTTAGACGTACTGAACACTCGACTGGGGAGATCACTGAGCAAGCCACGGTAACTTGCAGGACATCCCCTCGGAAGCCCCTCTTACCCTTAAACCATCTGATGTGGATCTTCAGGGGTTAGAGCTGCTGTTGAGGCACAGTGAGGTTTGTAGGCACCCACTGTTGGTGCTGTGTTCAGGGGGTTCTCGGGGCGGCGACCCTCGTGTTCTGCGGTAGCTTCCAGAGCTTCCTCCAGATCAGTGGAAAAAAGGTTATTTGTGCCAAAAACAACAGTTGCAACGCCAAAGTAAGAAGGGATATGAGTACCTGCGGGTACGCTAGCACTTCATGAAATCCTTGACTAATGCTGTTCTTTCAAATAAGCGGCCGCAGCAGTTCGCATGGGTTTGTTTAAGCACGGTTGGTTCAAACTGACCGTGAATATAGGTCGTTCAGTTCCCCTAGGCTACGGGAATTAAATGAAGAGTCTGGCTATCCAAACAGATGCTGGAAGATTGTATGGCATGGTTGCTTGTGCAAGCCGGCACTGTGTTGTTAGGAGGGGCTTTTAGGGATGACACCACTTTGTTAAACCTTGGCAGGACAAGAAGGACACACTCCGCGTCAGTGAAGAAATTCCTGACTTACTGAGGTTGCCAGCTGAGTTATGTCTCTTTAAGGAATGCTGTTTCCTGTAGCTTCTAGGGCATCCCCTATAGCTTCTGGGGCAGAGTACTTAAAGATGGGGCTAATGTTTCAGGATTTTAACTTACTAGATGGTTTGAACAGCATAATTTACCGTCAAACATTCATGCTTCATAAGGCTAGAGGTAATTCTGTTGTTTCAATTCTTCAAATACCCAGAAGAGAATTACAGTTCGTTTGCTTGGTTGGAAATAAGTGCTTTTAGGAAGGATGTTTTCTTCCTGAAGCAGAGCTGAAGTACCTTACTGGGACTGAGCTCAGCTTAGCCAGCTGATTGCTTGTGAAGAAACCAACCTGTTGGTAGTCTTTGATGTTTGCCCTAGAACAGGGAAAGATGATGTTTGCAGGTTGTACTTCAGTCCCGTTAGAAGAAGGGTAACTGTAGGGTCTTTCTTGTGCATACATCTGTGTCTGTGGCAAAAAACATGTTTTCTGTGGTCAGTATCCTGTATTTGAATTCAGGGAAGTGATTGTCTGAGTTCTGCCAAATGAGATGCTTTCTCTGGTACTTGCTCATTTGAAATCTCTGGGAAATCGGGGCTCTGCCACAAGTCTATTTAATTCTCCTTGTTCAGTGTTTGAAGGGTTTCAAGAGCCTGGCAACAGCCTGGCCCCTGTTCGCCTCCCTGCGCTCAATTGTTGTGCAGACTTCACGCTAACCAGGAGCAGAGCAAGCATGTCTGAGATTAATGAGTCTGCTCTTTTGTTTGTTTGTTTCATGAAGAAAAAAACCCACAAAAATACAGTCTGCTGAAAGGGTCAGAGCTAATAATAATCCACAAAAGTCTTGGCATCCAGTTCAGCTTTTGGGTTGCACTTGGTGTTTGAAAACTAATACTGGACTAACATAAAAAAAAATTATGGTAATAGGTAAGCTAACAAGTATCTTGTTTTCCTGTGGCAGTACAATAGGGTTTGGATCCCTGATAATGAAGAAGTTTGGCAGTCTGCGGAAATCACGAAGAACTACAAAGCTGGAGACTGTTTCCTCTCCGTGCAATTAGAAGATGGAACTGTAAGGAGAAAAGCCTTAACTTCTGTGGGGTTTGCTGGGAAATGTTCCTGTGTAGAAACAGGGCTCACCATTACAGGTTCTAAATGACATTCCCATACATTCAGTGGGCTGTACGGGGTGGATGAAACTGAAGGGCTCCATCAACCCTCTGACTTCTGTAGAGGTGGACAATGGATTTGTGTTTATGCAAACATAATTCATTTAATGATACTCCAAGTCATTTTTGTTGACAGGAACTGAGTTACCCTGTTGATCCAGCTGCTTTGCCACCCCTGCGGAATCCTGACATACTTGTTGGTGAAAATGATCTCACTGCACTTAGTTATCTCCATGAACCAGCTGTTCTGCACAATCTCAGAGTTCGTTTTGTGGAGTCCAAGCTTATCTACACCTACAGTGGTAAGCAAAGTGAAACGCAGGGTTTAAAAAAAATGTGTTCGTATTAAAAACCCAAATAATCTCGGGTTAGTTTGCAATATGACGTGAGTCATGTTTTCCTCAAGTGCATTGTAACTCGTTCAAGTTAACTCATTTTTGTATGAGTAGAGACTTGTTTGTTGATGGGGACCTCCTGCCTGGTTTAGAAGATATTGCTACTTTGTGTCAGCTCAGCTGTTGTTTCCGGAAACTGGCAGTTCGTTGTAGTAACCTATGTTTTATTTTTGTTTTGTACACTTGGTTGTAGGAATCATTCTGGTTGCAATAAACCCCTATAAGCAGTTGCCAATATATGGAGATGCTATTATCCATGCATATAGCGGGCAGAACATGGGGGACATGGATCCACATATATTTGCGGTGGCAGAAGAAGCGTACAAGCAAATGGCAAGGTTCAGTATGTTGCTTAATGTCCATAAATAATGCCTGAAATCTCAGGGCAGGCAGTGTTAATTGTAATCCAGTTTAACTGTGTATGTGCTGCTGGCTGTTAAGAATATCTTTGAATGGTTAACTTAACTGGAGGAGGAGTAGCTCCTTCACCAGCTGAGGAATTTCTATAACTCATGTCTATTTTCACTCTTGATGAGGGGCAAAACACTTGTCTTAGCTGACTGACTAGCAGTGACATCAGCCTCGAGGTTACAACCAAAGAGAAGTAAGAGAAGAACAGATGGAATCGATATGAGCGTTGACCACAGCTGTGTTTTCATATGTTTGCTTCATATATATAACTCTCACGTTTATACCTGCATTTTAGACATGTCCGATTTAAACTGTCTGTTTACTTGGTTTTAGAAATAACAAAAATCAGTCTATTATAGTCAGTGGAGAATCAGGAGCTGGAAAGACTGTCTCTGCGAGATACACCATGAGATACTTCGCCACTGTGAGTAAGTCAGGCAGCAACGCACACGTGGAGGATAAAGTACTGGCGTCCAATCCAATAACTGAGGTAAGCTCCAGAGAGTATCTGCCAAGTCCCTGTTGATCAAGGGGAGAGTTCTGAGAGCTGTTTGAAATCTTTAGGGCTGTTTTAGCTGCCTGAGTTAGATATCTAAATTAGAAGTTTAGCCTCTGAATGTTACTGATGGGTAGGTTTGGGAACACCCAGCTTCTGCCCAATTTACCGGTGGCTTTTTGGAGATTTGCCTCCAGAGTTTTATCCTGTTAATTGGATGATAATGAAACAATATTGGACAAGCTGTTTATTTGGTTTTAGTAATTGGAACAGAAATTGGTTAAGGTTCCTTATGGTCGGAAAACACGCTTTCTCAAATTCTCGGTTTCTGTAGGGTTAGACTATTTGACTTGAGGCTTACCTTCAAATTTGGGCCTCAAAATTGAAATCTCACAGCTCAGTGCTGAGATTGATCCATGAGCACCTTTGTTTTTAGGAAGCTGTGGTTGAGTCATGTTTTGACAAAGTTATTCTCATGAAAGATACAAGTAAACCAAACTCTAGAAGTTTATAATTCATATAGGCTGTCGGCAATGCAAAAACTACGCGAAATGATAATAGCAGTCGCTTTGGAAAATACACCGAAATCAGTTTTGATCAGAGTTACCAAATCATTGGAGCTAACATGAGAACGTATCTGCTTGAGAAGTCCAGAGTTGTCTTTCAGGTGGGTAAAATAAAGGTAAAAAAGGTCAGTGTCTGCATAGCTACTAATGTACTATCCTTTTATTAGTTTGATATAGAAAATGTTAAGTGAAGTTCTGAGTAGGATGTCTAGTCAGCATTTGATTTATTTTTAATAGGAGCTAAACTTACAGTCTCCACTTAACCTAAGGAAGAACATGGAATAGCGTAGTTACTTGCATTAAGTATCTTGGGGACAACTTCCTGAGACAAGTGCAAGAAGTATTTGAGAAATTTGTGACTTTTAGTCACAATAGTAGCACGTGCCAGTTGTATCTGGGAAGGAGCTGTGGAACCCACAGCATCAGAAGGATATAGACTGGTTGCAGCGAGTCGGGAGGAGACCACGAAGATGCTCAGAGGGCTGGAGTACCTCTGCTATGGGGACAGGCTGAGAGAGTTGGGCTTGTTCAGCCTGGAGAAGAGAAGGCTCCGGGGAGACCTTATTGCAGCCTTCCAGTACCTTAAGAGGGCTGCAGGGAAGCGGGGGGGGGACTTTTTACAAGGGCCTGTAGTGACAGGACAAGGGGTAACGGGTTTAAATTGAATGTGGGGAGGTTTAGATTAGATATCAGGAAGAAGTTCTTCCTGGAGAGGGTGTTGAGGCACTGGCACAGATTGCCCAGAGAAGCTGTGGATGCCCCATCCCTCGAAGTGTTCAAGGCCAGGCTGGATGAGGCTTGGAGCAACCTGGTCTAGTGGAAAGTGTCCCTGCCCATGGCAGGGGGGTTGGAACTAGATGGTCTTTAAGGTCCATTCCAACCCAAACCATTCTGTGATACAGGGCAGAGGGAGTCTCGGAAAAAACTGTCTGAAAATTGGTAAGGCCCAGGCTTATTGCATGTGACTCAGTGAAGTGTCAGAGCATAATTGTGGCAATCTACTAAAGAGAGCATTTGATTTTATAAAACTGGTTTTATGAAGTTTAGCTTACTTTTTAAGTACTATGAAAAATACTTCTGTATATCTGCTGCCCAAAGGATGGTTGGAAATGGAGTTTTCTGAGTTACACGGGGCAGTGTTTCAGCCAGCATTCCTATGCAGTTGTTCATTGCAGTGTTTGTCATCTTAGCAGGTGGTTGTTCAAGCTGAATAAAATCTTAGAGTAACAGCCTTGGGAAAAGAACTCAGCATATCGGTAATTGAAGTGTACTTGAATTTATCACTTTCAAAGCTCCTGTTGAAGTCTAAGATGTGCCAGTTTGCCATTGGGCAATTCCTTTGCCAAGCCATGTTGCAGCAGAATTTAGCCTTTGTGTGTCATTATCTCTTTACAGTGGTGTAGAATAGTGAATATTTTTCTGTTTGGTTGGTTTGGGTTTTTCTTCTTTCTGTAATGGCATTCTTTGCTTTAATTTACAGTCGGAGAATGAGAGAAACTACCATATATTTTATCAGTTGTGTGCATCTGCTACGCAACCAGAATTTAAGCATCTTAAATTGGGTAGGTGTCAAGATAACAATACACTCTTGCTTTTTGCGGCGCAGTTTTTGGAAGATTGGATTTTCAAATGCTGGGATGTTAAGTGCCTTATAGCATAGATCTCGGGCTTGAAATGGGACGTACGTTTTAAGTCACTTAGGTATTAATTCTGCTTGTATTGGACTTGGTAGCAAATCCCTGGTAACTTGAACAGTGCATAATCAGGTACCTAAGTATCTCAGAATAAGATTTCCAAATACTTTCTGTAGTGAGAGATGCCATAATGACAGTTTAGGGGTTTGATTCATTTATCTACAGAGAAGCTTTCATACCACCTGGGAGAAGCAGACCTTGGATATATGCTTGATCAGTCTTCATTCCTCTTTGTTTATTAGATCAAGTATTGGGATTGCTGGAAATTATGAATATGTGTCAGCTTAACTGAGTTAGGCGTGTGGATTTCTCTCAGGAAAAGGGGACCTCCGGCTCTTTGCTGAAGAGCCGTCATCTGACAGCATCTTTAATTTCTGGGTGTGACAGGAGTCTTTCACAAGTGGCTATCCCCAGTCCTGAATTTTCCAGCATTACAAGTTTTGCTTCTTATTTACAGGCAGCGCAGAAGAATTTAACTACACAAGAATGGGTGGCAGCACAGCTATAGAAGGAGTTGATGACAGAGTGAATATGGTGGAGACTCAGAAGACATTTGCTTTGCTGGGTAAATTCTTGGGAATACCTTTTCAATAGTTTTAAAATCGGGGTGTTTTTCTGAAATGGTCAAAGGCAAATTGTGTCCGAAATGTCCAAAACTTTAGTAGTAATTACCAAAATCATTTATTTCATCACTTACCCATTGCATTGTTAGTCTGTTTTAAAAGTACTAGGCAAGACCTAATGGCTGTTCGTCGGGTGTTCATTGCTAATGGTCACAATCACTGAGGGCTGCAGTCTTCTTGGCCCCTAAGCTAACACTCTGTGGCAGAAGTGGAATTGGAAACTTCTTTGCCCCTATATGATTTATGTGAAAGCCAAATCAGACTTGAGCTGGCACTTGGGGAGGTACAGGAATTTCTGCCTAATCTCTCTTCGGATCAGACAGGCAGAAAGCAGGCAGAACCAAGGCTTTGCATAGTAGTCTGCAGAGATGCTGTACAATTCTTGGCTACACAGCAAAACAAGTAGTACAGCATTGTGCTATGTTAATTAATTGTACTGTTTCTGAGTATTTAAAATAATCCAGACTTGTTTTTCTAGGTCTGAAGGGGGATTTTCAGATGGATGTTTTTAAAATGCTGGCAGCAATCCTACACTTAGGCAATGTGGAAATAAAGGCTGTTGGAGATGAAAGATCATCCATCAGTGTAAGGAAGTAGCTCATGCATATGCTAGCATTTTCTTTTATTTTCCATGCCAAAAGTCCTTTAGCAGTAGCTTTTCTCATACCTGGGGCTCTGAGCAGCATTAAGTCTGGTGTCCTACACTTGAGAGACTACTCCAACTTCATCTGTATAGAATCACGGGGAGTGTTTATGCGAATCCTGGTTTGTGCCTGGGCTCAGCCACATTTTACCTTTTGTTCAGACTCTCTAAGAGAACCCCATGCCCAATTGATCACCAGCTGTTGGAAAAGCCATTTGGGACTGTCTGCAGGAAACAGAGCATTGTCAAAGCTGCTCAGTGTGTGTCCCAGCAGATTATGCAAGTCTAAAAAGCCAAGGACACCTAAACATAGACTAAAGTAACTTTTTCTTTCATTGTCTTAATCTGAAGCATCTCATCCAGTCTGTTTTTTCTCTCCTGTATCATAGAATCATAGAATGGTTGGGGTTGGAAGGGACCTAAAAGCCCATCCAGTTCCAACCCCCCTGCCATGGGCAGGGACATCTTCCACTAGACCAGGTTGCTCCAAGCCTCATCCAGCCTGGCCTTGAACACTTCCAGGGATGGGGCATCCACAGATTCTCTGGGCAACCTGTTCCACTGGAAACTCATATTAAGAACTCTTCCCAGAATCACTTGCTTTAGCTCTTCTTTGTCTGGCAAAATATCAAGAAGTGAACAGCCCCTTCTCTATCTGAAAACAGAAGTCGTCGTTTGATGTCAGCAGTGCCAGGATTTCACTGTCTAGACAACAGTTAAAGTGTTAAACGTAATTTAATGATACTTATTTATCTTCTTTAAAGCCGAATGATGAGCATCTCAGTAACTTCTGTGAACTTCTGGATTTAAACTGCGACAGGATGGCACAGTGGTTGTGCCACCGAAAGATCGTCACTACCTCGGAAACTGTAGTAAAGCCAATGACAAGAGCTCAGGCTGTTAATGCAAGGGACGCTCTGGCAAAGAAGATCTATTCTCACTTATTTGACTTTATTGTGGAAAGAATTAACCAAGCTTTGCAGTTCCCTGGCAAACAACATACTTTTATTGGTGTTTTGGACATTTATGGGTAAGAATGTCTCTGGGAGCAAATGAAGTTGTAGCTGGTCTGTGGAGCTGATGAGAGGCACTTTTCAGCTTGTGCTGCTGATGAATTTGGAGGGGTTTGGTTTACTAAAAGGTCATCTAAGTTCTTTAGCACCCACAGTAGTGGAAATGTTTGGCAACTGTACATATTAGTATGTTTTGTGAATGAGGTTTAAATTTAATGTTTGATATGCTACTTTTAGATTTAACGTTGGATTTTTATAGCTCTGTTATGTCTGGTATCATCAACTCTGAGGGAAGTTTGAAATGCCATAACATTTCCATTAGTCTTACAGCTATTTAATTTTCTTGGAAATATTAGATTAGCTCCAGAGTCTTAGGAGGACACTCCCATTTGTATTTAAATGTCAAGGGATGGTTTTTCTTGTTCTCCAATACTGTGATATCACCTTATTTTTTTTTTCTTATTCAACGTGTGTTTCAGCTTTGAAACGTTTGATGTGAACAGTTTTGAACAATTTTGCATCAATTATGCTAATGAAAAGCTGCAGCAGCAATTTAACCTGGTATGTTCTCTTATTTGTCATAGTTATTTCTCTTATTTTGGTTCACTTTTGAACTTATCAATAATGGATATTAGCAAGTGCTATTTGGTTTTGAGTGATGGATATTTCTGGGTAACAGCTGTCCAGCAATAGATAAAAACATTTTATTTGCATAGGTACATGCACGCACATATATAAATAAAAATTTCTGAGTTTATTTTCTTACAAGACAGACATAAACTGCACTACAAAAATCTATAAATATCTTGTTCCTATCTTCCATATACAATCACGCTCATGCACACATTGTATGTGTTTGCTTCCTTAATTGTAACCTTACATTTTCATAATTTTCACCTATCTAGCATGTCTTTAAACTCGAACAAGAAGAATATATGAAGGAAGATATCCCATGGACTTTAATCGACTTCTATGACAACCAGCCTGTCATTGACCTTATTGAAGCTAAAATGGGAATTTTAGAACTTCTGGATGAGGAGTGCTTGGTAATGTAAAAGTTCTTGTATTTATGAGCTCATAAAAAGTCTTGTGGGTTAATCCATATTTTGTTCCTTTTAAATGGGAAGTAGAGCATTTTTTCTCACAAAAGGACCATTAATGTTTGCCTTTTATTTGGTAATTTTAATTGTAAGCCACTCAATTTTTTTTTTCTAATCTTAGAAAATCAAGAACCTAAAACTGGATTCTTACCTACAATCTAACCCAGGAGCTAGATTTCTTCACTGCGAGGGTAGTGCAGTACTAGGACAGGTTAAGCAGAGGTGCAGTGGGATCCCCATACTTGGATTCTTCCCAGATTTGAGTTCAAAGGGAAGCTCGATCTAGTGTTGTGGCAGTCTTGTTCCAAGCTTGGACTACCCGCATTCCAGGGGTCTCTTCCGCCAGTATTTCTACAATTCACTTATTCCACAAATCACTGATTTTGCTATAAAAAAACAGTCTTTCTTTCCTTTTTTTGTCAGTTTTTACTGAATGCACCAAACCTTTGCTTTTTCTTCTTCAGTGTTACTATTGTTTTCTCTGTGCTCTCTCCTGACTCTAGCAATTTCTGAATCTGTATAGCTTTTTTCTTCTACATATATGTAGTTCCCTGAGGCTTCTGAACCTATTGCAGTAACTTTGTCAGTGAGGAACAGGGCAGGGAAAGGTGAGCTCTGTTAAAGTGGTCTCTAAAGGGTGTTTTGCTGATACTGGCAGGTTGTACTTCTCAGAATCCAAACCATGGGAGAAGTTAGGGAATATTCCCTAGCTCATTAGCTTATCTGTTACTCTGCTCATTAGCGTTTTCAGGGACCAGATTGTCCCTGACTGCAGGTACCATCCTTTCCCAACAAAATAATTTATGACTCATCAGAGAATCAACTCTAATTAATATGACCTTCTTTCTTAAAAATGTTTTGCTACAGGGAGCTACTGGCTAGTCTGAAAAGACAAAAACTGGTTGCTCTCAGGCCTCGTAACTCACTGAAGATGCATTATTTGGAGAGTATTTATTGTCAGTAGGCAGTTTTGCCGGTTTTAGTGGTCCAGCAGAGTTTTGTTAAAGAGATTGCCCTTCTCATTTTTACAGTTACCTCATGGAACAGATGAAAACTGGCTTCAAAAGCTATATAACAATTTTGTCAATAAAAATGCACTCTTTGAAAAGCCCAGGATGTCAAACACGTCTTTCATCATTCAACACTTTGCTGATAAGGTAAACAACACGGTATTATTTTCACCCTGTTTCTGGCAGTAGCTCATTCAGAAAAGAAACAAACTTAGGCAGTAGAAGAGATATTAACCACACTTGTTGGGACCTTCTATAAAATTGATCTTCGGTACATAGCACTCCTTGTTTATGGGTAATGCTGCTCGTAACATGCCATTTAAATATAAGAAGTGCTTAATGAATTTGAGAGTATAAAAATAAATCATCAGGATAAAGAGGCAGACAAAGAGTACAATATATAAATAAAATAGTTAAGACTGTAGTCTGTACACATTTTAGTCTCACTTATTTACATTTCAAATGCAGTGTTCCTTTTTTGGTACTTTGTTTTGCAATCACAGAATAAGGAATAATGAAGGCAGAAGGAAATTGCAGTTGATAGTGGATAACAGTTTGCCCTGCTTCTGAATTTGCAGTATGCCTGTGTGTATGCTTGCAGTAATGAAACTGGAAAAAGGAGAGTTTCAGCTGTCCTGCTCAGGGCTAATAAAACCTGTTGCCCACTGTGGCATAGAGAGTGAAAATAACTGCTTTGCTAACTATCCATGTATTGCCGAAAAGCTAATGGTTTCACCTCTTTGCACAGGTAGAGTATAAATGTGAAGGATTTCTGGAAAAAAACAGAGACACTGTGCATGAAGTCTTGATTGACATCTTGAAAGAGAGCAAGGTTTGTGAACAATCGGTAGTGATCAATTTCCTGAATACTTGATTTTACTGGCATTCATTCGCGTCTTTTAAAGATTTGCTCTGAGAAAAATATTTTTAATAGGTTGAATCCATTAGTTGAGTCAGTTTTCATTAACATTCTACAAGTATGCATTTTTAGCAGCATCAGAATAACATACAAGATGGGAAAACACAGTATTCAGCATTTTCATGCATGTGATTTGCTTTGCTAGTTATGTTAGTTTTGGGTTGGGTTTTTTTTCTTAGTATCTCCCCTGAAGAGCAGTGTGGAATCCTTGTGACTGAACAATTCCCTTGATACTTTCTTTCTCTGTAGTCATTGCATGTAGCTTTGATAGGTAGTTTATCATTAACAGCTGCCTTTGTTTATTCTTCAAAAGAGATTAAGAGAATTCCAGGGCAGGGAAAACATCAGATGTCTTATATGTGCCTGCCACTTCCCATCTGCTTGAAGGCCTTGTCCCTTTGAAGTCTACAGCCTTGAGACTTCAGGGTTACTGTTAAAAAGCTAACTTAATCTGACCCAAACCCATACTTCTAAATTAAATATTGTGAAAACACAACCTTAAGTGGTCTTATTTTTAACTCTGTTGTGTATTTATGTCCATGCTTGCTCATAGTGGAATAGCTTTTGCAGACCTGCTTAACAGTTGTTGAGTTTTGCCTGTGAAATGTGTAAGGGCTTCACAATAGACTCAGAATTGTTGCAACTGTTTCTTCCATCATTATTTGTGGCTTAACAATCCAGTTCCAAGTCCTGCAGTACCTGGCCTAAGCAGTAAGATGGGTGGGTTTTGCGTTTTACGTTCTCGTAAATGTAATTTTTATTTAAATGTTATTACAGTTACACAGTATTTAACTGTGATTCTTTCGCCACACTTTTAGTTTCATCTGTGTGCAAATTTTTTTCAAGACAATCCGGTGTCCGTTTCACCTTTCAGTTCAACTATAAGCATCAAATCTGCAAGGCCTGCTCTCAAGTCGCCCAACAAACACCTCCGGATGACTGTTGGCAGTAAGGTACTGCATAAACATGCTCCTGCTTTCAGGGAGGTGTACTGGGCAGTCTGAGACTGAGAAAATTCTGTTCCTATTCACGGGGGACTCCCTAGGAAGAGCCAGCCACACTGCAGGGCTCCAGGTCGGGGTATAAGTAGCTGGTTTTAATTTGCATATAGGAGCGTAATTAGATTTCCTGTGTTTAAGACATAAACTCTAAGAAAATCTCCCAGTGTCCAGCCAAAACCTAACAAATAATTGCAAAACCTAAGATTTCACTTTTCCTTAGCTGTAAATATTTCATTAACAAAACTGTTATGTCTGATACTTTCTAGTTCCGGAGTTCCTTGTCTTTGCTTATGGTGACACTCAATGCAACCACCCCTCATTATGTAAGATGCATAAAGCCAAATGATGACAAGTTGCCTTTTGAGTAAGTATGTTTGTGGCATTGAGCTCCTACATTCCCTTTACAATTCAAAGTGGTTTTCTGTTGCACAGTAGCTAGATGTCAGCAAGCTAAATTCTTAGTGTTGAACAAGTCCCCATGTAGAACATATTTTTCCTTTCAAGACAGCTGAAGTAAAAAACCCACTGTCTTCTTACAAAACCAGAATCATCCAGTAATAGTTCTTGATACCTTACAAATTCTTTGTTGTCCTAAAATTTTTCATGTTGGAGATTTGTGGTTTTGTCACAACATGTTTAGGGGAAAGGATGTCCCCCTTTGGTTTAAGCTGATGAATATTTTGTGTAGGTGTGTTTGTTCTTACACAATATGGATTAGCATCAGTGTATATTTAGGGAATAAAAGCCAATGCCACTTTCTTTGTGAATGTCCCTTTTGTCCCCAGGAATCTTTAGAAGAGCTTTAGAAGGCAGAAAAAGTATGAGCAGTGTTGAACATAACCTTGCCTTTTTCCCAGAGTTTTGTATCACTTTAATCTTCGAATAAACTCATATATGCCAGATAATTTGCATCATTCTAATAGACCAGCTTGATGATCACTGACTTGTATGTAGGAGTTAACCCGGATGCAGCTGTTGGTCTGTTTTGAGGGCAGACATGTGGAAGCACTCTAGTTTCAGTTACACAGCTTTTAGCTGGAAGGTAGTGTACTGACAAATGAAGTGAAAGCTTTTATTGTATCAGAGTAGGAAGGAAGAGGCAAACATTGATTCTAAATTAAATTGTTAAGTGTCTTAGCTCATCTTCTTGAAGCCAGACAAAAAGTCCATGTTACAGGTGGCACTGTTTCACTGTTACTGCAGTAAGACTTCATTATTCTGTGTAATAGCAGTGAGGGGGGAAATAGCTTGGATATTACAAAAACATGTCTGAATTCGACTAGAAGAGCATACTATAAGTTTGTGAAAGAACAATATAGGCATCTCTCAGCCAGAGGGATCCCTTAGCGAGTACTAAATCGACCCTGTTGTACTCTGTGGGTATATCTGCTGTGGTCCAGATTAGGAAAGGGTCTTTCCATGCCTTCTGTTGATAATCTAGAGCCCAGATATTCATGAGTAAATCCTGGTTTATTCATGAGTGTGCTAAAGAATACCTAGAGAGCGTTTCTTCCCAATAGACTGCTGAGGGAATTTATTTCTGTGTGTTTTGTGCCCTAAGTGGCACAATTCTTTGCCATTTGCAGATATGAACTGTAACGGCTAATACTGAAAGGAAACAGGACTTTTCATAAGAGAGGGACAAATACAGTCCTCTTTTAAGAAAGAAAAAGAAAATCCACATACTCCCTTTCACATATTTAAAAAAACAACAAAACACCATATACAAAGCAGGGAGCCCTGTGTCCTAAGGGCAGAAATAGAAATCCAGCTAGTAGAATGGTTCTAATTATTACAGCATGCCAAACCCAGCAAAGATGTAACATATAACTCTGCTTTTTTAGGTTTGATTCAAAAAGAGTTGCTCAGCAGCTGCGAGCATGTGGTGTTCTGGAAACTATTCGAATCAGTGCACAGAGCTACCCGTCCAGGTAGGGAGAGCAGTGGGCCTCCGTATGTTAAAAAATAATTAGGTGTCTCTTAAATTAATTGCATTTGCTAACTTTGACTTTTCCAGGTGGACTTACATTGAGTTTTTCAGCCGTTACAGCATTCTTATGACGCAGCAGGAACTCTCCATAAATGATAAGAAGCAGATTTGCAAGATTGTTTTGCAGAGGCTAATACAGGTTAGTCTGTACCTGCTGACTCGTTATCTGTTATTAATAAAGGTCTCTCTTGCCAAGAGTAGTAACTCGCTCCTGTAACAGGAAAGATGATACTTACATTATTACTACCTTTCCCGATTTAGCGTGTTGTACACAGGCTTGCAAGTCAATAACCTTGTGTTGTGACACAGTCGTGATGTGGCTGTAGGTAGATGATTTGACCTCTCTGTGCTTAATATCTTGTAAAATGGAAGGTATTCTAGCTATATTTGTAAACCAGTGAACAGTAAATGGATTATGTTTGTCAAGTATTAGCATTTACCATTTTTGATGGTGGAATGCAGCAAATTGGAGAAGTGTTCTGAAAACGTGCTATTTTTCATATAACTTTCTATGAGCAATATTGCTGAGCTCAGACTCGGCGAAGTTTCAAACCACACACCCGTGTACTTTTAACGTAGCTCCAGCACAGGCCAAGGGTGAGAGCCTGAGCTTAAGACCAGCTTCTTCCCTGAGTTCTTGCACACGCAGCTCGCTGATTGAAGGCCAGGCACGTTCACCAAAACGTAGTGTTGAGCCCAGGCAACCAGGCTTGTAGGAGCGGGTGAAGAGATTGCTTTCAAGGCCTTGATGATGAGTCCAGATCCTCCCTTTAATTTGAGGTGACTCGGTGCGATTTTTGGATGTAATTCTCTGGTTCTTTCCTGTGAAGTGGATTTTCTCCCATATACTCTCATCTACAAAGAAGGTAGAGAGGATATTCTAATTTAGCAAGATGATACATTTC